TCTATCTATCTATCTATCTATCTATCTATCTATCTATCTATCTATCTATCTATCTATCTATCTATCTATCTATCTATCTATCTATCTATCTCTGAAGCCCCCATGCAGAGTTCGGCATGATTACTATGTAAATGAGTGCGACTGGAGAGAAGGAAGGAGGGATGGGGGGGGTCAGACACACCGCGCGGGGAGTACTTTTGTTCCTCTTTTCATTATCTCGCTCTATCGTTCCCCGGATCACCGCTATTTCCATGCCGGAGGAATATTTTAATATCCGTTACAGCAACACACACTCTGTCACTCTTCCCTCCCTCCCTTCCTCCTAGCATCTACCCACCCACCCATACATCCATCCCACCCTCTATCTATCCATCTCTCCATCCATGCTTCAGCTTGCAGTGGAGAGTATAGAGACAAATGTGCAGAAGAAGATATTGATGCGTATGTGAGAGTAGGGCGGGGGGCTAAAACAATGTAAAATAGAAGGGAGGGGGGTATATTGGTGGATAGATGCAGGAAAAAGCAAGAAGTGGGCCCACAGATGACAGACAAATGTAAAGATAAAGAAATGAAGAACAGTGATGGCATCGGGGGTGCACAGAAGGATGGTGCAGTGGGGTGAAGAATAGTCGGAGAGAAAAATAGAGAGAGCGTCACAGGCAAGAGGAATGGATGATGAACAGGGAACATAGTGAAGTAATAAAAAGCTCAGTGGATTCCTTCATGGCAACCTGCTCATAAATGTGAAAAACAACATGAATACTGGAATCTGTTTGCACAGAATAAACCGTTCTGCAGACAACAACCCAGCAGGCTAGGACAGAGCTCAGTAACGCTGCAGTGTCTTCGCAGGTTTTACTGGTCTGGCACATTCGCTGACTGTTCATGCTATCTGACACTTGTATCGCAGTCTTCATTTCATCCGTGCATGTGTGCCTGTCAGTCACAAATGTAAGACGGTGTCAAGCTTGGGTGTAGTAAAATATGATTTAGAGGGTGCCGAGTGAATGTTAGGTGCTGCCTTACAGTGCAGTGTATGTGTGTGTGTTGAATTTTTGATTTTTGATTGTTTCTTTCTTTCTTTTTTTTCCATACTATTTATTACTTGAGGCCAGCAGCACAGCAACAGCCAGAGTTGCAGGTGTGTGTATATATAGCTGACTGCTGGGATACCTGAGGAGTAGGTGAAGAGTAGGAGTTGAGGAAATACAGGTATAATTGGTGGGTAGGTGAATAGCGATTGGCAGGCAGTAAAAATGAAAGATTCTGTGTGTGTGTGTGTGTGTGTGTGTGTGTGTGTGTGTGTGTGTGTGTGTG